CTCCTGGACCGTGGTCTGACAAGCTCCCAGCAGAGTGACTGGCTTACAGCAAGCAAGGGACGTTAATCTATACTTTCTCCTGACATGACAGATGACAGGTGAAAACCTGGGCAGGAGGTAACAAGCCCTTACAATGCCCCTCACCTAAAGTCTTTACACCCACAGGTTCTAGTTACCTTGGCCAAGGCTGGTCCCTTCCAGTTCAGGAAATGCTCCAGTTCAGTGCCCTTAGCCCGGGCCCTGGAAGAGTCAAACACCTTCCTCTTGGAAGCCTGCATCCTGCTGCAAACGCTCGAGTGTCTCTCCAGCCTGGGCAAGAGGAACTTGCGTCCACAGTGATCGCACTCCCTTAGTTCGGAGTCCCCGGGGGAAGAGCAGGAGCCTGAAGAGTCTGGTGCCCGAGACAGGCTGGAGTGCCCAGCGGACGCCCATAAAGTATCACCTGGTGCTTTTGAAGGCTGAGAATACCTCTCTATTGATGGCCTTGCAGCTCGGTCTCTGATTTTGCTATTGCTTGCCACCAGTCTTTCCCTTTTGAGCCTCTGTATCCCATAATCGGAGATCTGGAACAGACTAGAACTCTCTTGGGACTGTCCCCAAGTTTGGCTCTCTCTCCTGTCTCTGCTGAATGCCTCTTCAGACCTGAATTCTGGAGAGGAGAGGGGTTTGTACACAGCGCTAGCACTGTTATCTTTAACTTCTTTCGGGGAGAATGTCATTCTCTGGAGCTCTCTTTTCTCATTTCCCTCAGCCTGTTCCTTTTCCTTCTGAATTCTCCTGAGTTCCTCCTCGGTCTTCTTCAGCTTTTCCCTCAGAAGTGTCTCCTTCCTTCGAATGTCTTCCCCTAAGCTCTCACCAGCAGCTTCTAGTTTTTGGATCTGCATGTGCTCAGTCCTGTGGGACTTTGCCCAGGTACCGTGTCCCTGCGTTGCCGCAAGAAGAGAACTAACCACAGATGGATTCACTCGGTCCCGTGAACCAAAGCTGCTGTAAGAAAAGTCTCTTGGCTCAGCAGGTCTTGAGTGGACATTCTGGTCTCCATCGGCTCCAGGGGTGACATTCTGGTCTCCATCGTCTCCAGTCTTACTGCTATTACGAGACTTTCTGTGGAACACGGGCTTCAGTGGGTATGCCCTGTCCACACCAACTCGCTTCTTTGTAAAGGGGATGGCATCCTGGTTACTTGCTTTGGAGTACCACGGTTGAAAGGACTGAGGAGGGTCTGAAGAATGAAGCAGAGACTTTCGTTGGCCCGGGGGATTGGTTCCTGGATCCTGCTGGCTGACTCCAGCACCGCAGGTATAGAAGCAGCTCTGGGCTTTTGTGAAGGTGTCCCAATTGGGGTGAGGATACAGATTATTCAGCATTAGTTCACCATCGCTCAAAAGCTTCTGCGGGACATTGCTCTTCAGATGCCCCACTGAGGACCGCTGTGAAGAGTCTCTTTGCTCATAAGGGTCTTGCTTGGCTAAGTGGAGGCCTGGAGCTTCCGTTGTATTAAATGAGAGCATAACACCCACAGGCAGTCGTGGTGCCAACTGGAGACCAGCCATTCAGGGCCTGGAATGAAGCCTAGGAGAGAGTTAACACATGTGAGCAGCTTGTCTAAGCTTCACTGCCAGCTGCTTAAAGTAACTCTGTCTACATCTGCCTAAACTATATTTCCCCTTATTTTGGTGGGACTGTGGTGCTAGGTCTGCCAAGAGTTTCATTCAACAAGCATTTTGTCCACAGGAGGAGCACTGGTGGCACTGTGGTTTAGACATATGGCTACTAACCAGAAAGTCCGTGGTTTGAACTTGCCAGCGAGAACTAGGTAGTCTGCTTCCATAAGGATTTACAGCCTTGGAAACCCTCAGGGCAATTCTACTCTGGACTACCGAGTCGCTATGAGCCAGAACTGATCTGATGGCGGTGGGTTTGTCTGGGGATTATGTTCAGTCTCTGAAAACAGAATAACCAATGTAACACAGGTGTTCGCAGAAGGCAAACATAGTGACTGCTCCGGGCATACACAGAAGGGATGAAAGAACACTGGATTGGAAAGCGGGATTTAGACGACGCGTCTGAAACAACCTCCTGTTGCTCCTATGATGCTTGACGATTGTGGGGCTCGGCCTACGTGACAGGGCGTCAGGAGTCCGCTCCTAAGACCCTGGTCACTTGACAGGTTGGTTAGGAAGCGGCGGCCGAGAGCTGGCGGGCAGGCACCAACTCCCCTCCGGCTTCCCTGCAGCTGGAACCAAGCTCGACTCCCGGGCACAGAGGCCAGACAGGGCTCGGAGCTGGCGCCTGGCCGCCAAACCCTCAGCCAAGGAGTCCTCGCGACCAGACGCTTCCACCCCCACCAAGGAATGAAAGCTGAGAGGCAGAGGCCACCTGACTAGGCCATGGCCGCGGAGAGGGCCAGAATGCGGAAGTCACGTTCTGTCCTGGAGGGTCAGCCCCGGCGCCCCCACTGGGGACTCTACCCGGGGGACGAACCTTCGCTCCCCGTCCCTGAGGCTCGTGCTCTTGCAGGAGTCAAGCTGCAAACCTTTGTCCTTCCCTCCTTCCTGCCGTACCTGGGCTGGTGGACCGCTCCTGCTCAGAGTAAATCCCTGAACCTAGTTTTCAGGACCTAACCATATCCCCCACCACCCCGCAACCGACAGCGCCGCGCAGGCGCTCTCCGCGAGCCTGTGTTACTCCCGTTGCCTTGGAAACAGGAGCGAGGCGCGCTCCGAGCCCCGCCTCTCACCGCGAGCACCGCCCTGGAAGCGCGCGCAGGCGCAGTCAGTGCGCGGGCGGGAGCGGCGCGGGGCGTGGGTGTGCAGACTGCTTCAGTGTTCCTTGACCCAGTGTCCAGCCAACTCTGCAATTCCTCGGAGAGTAGAACGGAGGAGGGGTTTATCAGAAAAGTATTTTCCTGAAAACGATGTTCCCAGAGCCTGGGGTGTGCCCTTCTGGGGCGCAGGGCGGAGCCCCCAGACATGCCCTGGAGTCATTCTGCCGCAGGATTCCGGTGTCCGCCCGCTTAGCGGGAGTGGGCCTGCTGATAGCCTTTCTTGGCACCCTTGGCCATTGCGGGCAGGCCCCAGGTAGGGCAGTGTTGCTATCTTCGTGCTTTTTCTTGCCCAGAGTTTGGAGCTTGCTTTCAAACTGCAGCACCTCGGCTAGGCTTTTGCTACGCAGTTATCTTTTCAGGGTTCTGGTGGCCAATCTGATTATTTTGATTTTATAATGTATTCTACTCACGTGGTCACTCTGGCCGTCTCTTCTTAGGGCCCAGAAATGACTCAGCCAGATGTAATGATAACAAAACTTAACTGCCAGATAAAAAGAATCAGTATAACCTGATTTCGACACTAAATGACACTCGATAAATTGTTAACATCAGAAGAGAGTTTATTTGTCTTCTTCACGCTTCAGTTCATTTGTGTAAGCTGTTTGGAACAGGCATCTGACTTTTTCTTACAACTCGGAAAGATTCCTGCACGTGGAAAAGTAGTGTGGTCAGCAGTAGTCGCTGTTAATCTTACAGCATGTTGTCCTATTACAGCCTTCACATGTTACAAAGAAATTTCTTGGTGGGCCCTCCTGGGCCGGCTTTAATTCTTTGTATTCATTATTCGCTGGCTCTCTTCTGCCATTTTAAACAATCCCAGACCTTTGCTCCTCTTTTCAAGTTCCTAATCAATTTAACATGGGGAGGCCTTCCACTCAACAACTCCCACCATGCATGCAGAAATTCTCAGTGTGCCTCCCCTCATCCTGACTTTTCTTTCCTCTGTTTCTGAGGAAGAAGTCTTTCCTTTCAGATGTTCTCTTGATTTGATCCCTTTAAGACCTTCCAGCCTCAACTGCATTACTTATACCTCCTATCTTGTGAACTTTTAAATTGTACCCCCTTCACTGACTCCTCTTTGGTTTTAAAACTAGCCTTCACTTTCTCCTGCAAAACAATCTTCATTTCTCTTGATCTGCAGCTTCTTGTGCTAGGGGCCCCTTCATTTATCTTTTTCTCCAAGGAACCAATAGAAAATACTACCTTCACTGCCTACACTTTCTCATCTACCCTTCATTGTCCAGTCCATGAGTTTCCATCCTTTTCGTTTTACTCAGTGACCTTCCAGTGACCTAATAACAGGAGACTTGATCTGAAGTGAAACCTGTTTGAATCAGTTCCTAGACCACGTGCAGAAACACTACTTGTTGCTGAAAGCGACTTTCCCAAGGAAGAAGTGAAGCCACGGGAATCAAACCAGAGGAGCTTGCTCCATAACTCATTTGCCTCATCCCATAACCAGTGCTGTCTCTTAGCCCAGAAGCCTCTGCAAAGAGTCCATCTTGGAAGACCAGCTATGAGTGCACTTAATTATCATAACCCCACCTATATGGATGATTCCCCAGAATTCCCCACCTTATGAATAAACATGAAACTCCTTCCAATCTAAATCTTTATTGTTATTAGTTCTCTGTGTGACTCATAGCAACCCTAAGAACAACAGACTGGAACCCTGTCCTAACCTGTGCCATCCTTACAATCTCTTGACACACTCAAGCCTGTTTCTGCAGTCACTGTGTCAGAGTGTGATGTTTTTCTCCAAAGAATAACCTCTCTTAGCAACATACCCAAAGTATGTGAGGGGAAGCTTCATCTTTGCCTCCAAGAAGCCTTCTGCCTGAACCTTCTCTAAGACATATCTGGTTGTTCTTTTGGCAGTCCATGAGATAGTCAGGACTCTTCCAACACCACAACTCAAAGGCATCAATAATTCTGTCATCCTTATTCATTGTTCAGCTCTTAGATGCATAGCAAGTGACTGAAAAGACCATGGCCTGAATAAGGCACAACTTAGTTCTTAAACTGACATCATTGCTCCTCAATAATTTGAAGAGGTCTCTTAACTACAGACTTTTCCAGATCTGACTGCTGGTACCAAGTGTATTGATTGTGGATCCAAGTAAGATGAAGTCATTGCCAGTTTTAATTTTTTTCTCCATCTTTCATGATTTTGCCTATCCATCCAGTGGCTAGGATTTTTACTATCTTGACGTTGAGATTCAGTTCATATTGAAGGCTGCAGAGTTTGATTTTCTGTAGCAAGTGCTTCAATTCTTCCTCACTTTTAGCTATCAAAGTTGTATTATTTACATAACAAACAAGGTTATTGATGAGTCTTCCTCCTATCCTGTTGCCATATTCTTCTTCATGAAGCCTAGCTTCTTGTACAGATTAAATAGGATTGGAGAAAGGATACAATCCTGTCCCACACCTTTTCATAGTTTTAAACTATGTAGTGTTTGCTTGCTCTGTTCTCAAAACAGTTTCTTGGTCTAAGTATGTTTCGCACCAGCACAATTTAAGTGTTCTGGAATTCCCATATCAGTGTATGGAATGTCTTAAACCAATCTTTTTTAAAAAAATATAAAAGGAACGGAGTAGACACAGACAAAAACACAAAGAAAGGGAACCTCGATGGCCTAGTAGTAAGAAGCTGCATTGCAATCCCGAAGGAGCCTGGTTCAAATCCACCAGCTGATCTGCTGGAGAAGGAGGGGCAATCTCCTCCTGTGCCAGTTGGATCCGATTTGATGGTACACACAAGGAAAAAAGAAAAAGATACAACACATAGGTGAGAGAGAGCCTCACCTGAAGATTAGCAAGGAGCAGAAACTAAAGAAAGATAATGACCTTTCACATGGAAAAGAGAGCATTCCCCTTGAGCTAGTGGCTCGATTTGGACTTCCGGTCTCCTAAGCTGTGAGAAAATAATTGTCTTCTTAAAACCATGCACTTGTGGTATTTTTGTCTTAGCAACACTAAGAAACAAGCGGCAAACTCAGTATGACAACACAAATTCATGGTCATCTATTTTCTCGTTCGCTAGTCTGTTTCTCCCAGGTTTCCTTCTATGCTCAAATTCATCTTTCACTCCTCCCTCCTTTCCACCTCTCCCTTCTAACTGATGAGTAGATTTTGCTAACTTTGCCTTTGCAATGCTTCTCAAATGATTCTCATTTCCATCTCCTCCCTTTGCAATTTAGTCTCTGACAGCCTGCTGGATAGTCAGCTGTGGATCAGATCCGACATGCTAGCAATGAGAATAAAATGACTTCTTCCTCGTTTCTTATCAGGATATCACTCTCTTAAATGCTCTTTTGCTTTCAACATCTCCCCCTGTCCCTAGGCTACACTTCATGCTGCTGCCAAAATAATCATCCTAAATACTCAGACCTTATCCTTTTTCTCCCCGCTGACTTCTTTTTCTGTAGACTAAAGCTGTAATTTAGCACAACATCCCAACTCTGGGAGTGCTGGCCCCATGTAACTTCTCAGTCTTACCCATTCTTGATAAATCCTACAATTGTCTTGTTGATTTTCAATCCTGGTCGCATTTTTGGGACTCCCTAGAGAGGCTGTTGGTGAAGGCTGAGCATTAGCATTCTATAAAGCTTCCCTGAAGAGCTTAATGTGCAGACACTGTTGACGTCCCCTCAGCTAGCACGCTCTCACCTCAGTGGTAATACTTTACCTGAGGTCCACCTGAGAGATGATAGGTGATCTGATTTATGGGTGTGAGTTCTGCCTTCAGCTAACTCCCAGCTCCATCAGTTATTGGATGTGATTGTATAAATGCTGCATCTTCCAAGAAGTCTTTCCCCAGCTTTGCAGTCAGAACTAATCACTCTGCTCCTTTGTTCTTCCTCACTATTTTCTCTCCTTGTTTACACAGGACTGCCTGCCTCATGATGACCTCCCAATGGATATTCACAGGATTGAATGACCATTTGTGCATTGTGTTGTTAACTATTTGCATGCATATTTGTTCTTAAGACTAAGCTAAAACTCTTTGAGAACAAAGAGTTTCATCATTTATATCCTCTGGTGTCCAGCACCTTGGCAATACCAAGTAAGGGTTTTTTGGTTTTTTTTGTTTGTTTGTTTTTGTTTTTGTTTTTTTACAGAGAAACTTATTTTAGAAAATGCATTAGAAGAAATAATAACAAGAAATTGTATTTTTTTAAGAATTTTTTAAAAATTTTATTATTTTTGTGTGAGTGTACCGTCAAATCAGATCTGACTGATACAGGAGGAGATTATCCCTCCTTTCCCGGCAGAGCATCTGGTGGATTTGAACTGTGCGCCTCTGGGATTGTGGCTGCAGCTCCTTACCACTAGGCCACCAGAGCTCCCCTAAGAAATTGTATTTTTAAAGAGAAGAAATAACATTAGCTGAGTACTCCACTTAGCATTATTTTTGAGTATCACAAAACTCTCACTGCAGCCCACTTCCAACATTTAGATTTTTGTTTCTTTAGAATCTGTATTCTCTCTTTACAATGAAAAGTTATTGTTGTTAAGTGCCGTCTGGTCAACTACAACTCATAGAAACCCAATGAACAGTGAATCTCAACTCTTTAAATCCGATTTGACGGTAGGCAAATAATTGAAATGGTTTGGATCAGGTGCTCCTTAGTCTTCAAACTGACATTTTTGCTTTCAAGTTGATTTCAGCCAATAGTGACCCAGTGTGTCAGAGCAGAACTGCCCCATACGATTTCCTAAGATTTTTATTTTTCTTTTATTTTTAATTTTATTTATTTTATTATTTTGTGTGTGTGTACCATCAAATCGGATCTGACTGGTACAGGAGGAGATTGTCCCTCCTTCTCCAGCACAGCATCTGGTGGACTTAAACCACATACCTCTGGGATTGCAGTGCAGCTTCTTGCCGCTAGGCCACCAGAGCTCCCAAGATTTTAATTTTTATGGAAGTTGATTGTCAGCTCTTCTTTCTCTACTGTTACCGCTGGCTTGGTTTGAATCAGCAACCTTTCAGTTAGCAACTGAATGCTTAGCCACTGCACCACCAGGGTGTCTTTTAGTGGGAGGTTAACAGAGTGATGGATCTCTGTCACTTTCATTGCACACCTGCCAGGCTGGCATTCTCACAGGTAGAGGGTTCTGCTATGAAGAGGAGTAGTGTGTACAAGCAATCTAAAAATGAATGAAGAACACCAGCTTTTCTTCATACACATTATTCATCTTAAGGCTAGCTGGGATCAAATGTCTACAAGTGGGCCCTCCTTTTAACCATCCAAACCCACAGACTCCCTAGTCAATTCTTTCTTCCCAAAATAAACTCATGCAATTTGGTCACTTGCCTCATATTGACTGACTCAGTTGTGACTCTGGAGCCATGAGCTGTTTTCCTTGTGCTTTTGCTTTCTTTTTTTAGACAAGGGTTCTTTGACATTTTCTTAGTAAGTTAAACCCTGATGGGCAGCTTCCAGAACACAAGAGGGAAAAATAACGTCTACTGGGACCTCTTGTACGTTTATCTGTCCTGATTCCAGTTCCAGACTTAGGCATGACTCAAAATTGGGAAGAACGGAAAGAAAAAAGGTCAGAAAGGTTATATGTATCCTATTTCATTTATTTATCTATGATGTCGCGTGTTTATTGTCTCCCACCAACGTCTGCAGGGGTAGGGATCCTGTCTAGCTTGCTCACTGCTGTCTGCCAAGGACCTAGAACCGTGTCCTGCACCACAGGCTCCACTCCGTAAATGCTTACTGAATGATGGAGTGTAAACGAAGGACTTGTCTATGTAGTTTTTATTAGAAAATGTAGACAGGGATACGCTTAGTAATTGAGGTCGGGGAGAGCATCTACATCTGGGGTGAGGGCTCTGTCTATGGACTCCACGCAGACACGCCAGTTAAAGTTCCCAACCTCAGCCTCCCCCTGGTTCCCCAGGACCTGAAACTGAAGTCCCGCCTTCTGGGCGGAGCGCCGAGCCTGATTGGCCGAGCAGACGTGATGGGCGTAAGACCTAGCGAAAGAAGAGTCACACTCTTGCGCTTCCGGGCGCGCTTGACGCCAACAGGAGCAGTTGGCGCGGTGGGCAGCCGGCTGGTCCTGTTGGCCTTTGAGGAATACAAGAAGGGTGAGCCCTGGCCTGGGCCCCGCGGCGTGCCTGTCAATCTACTGAGCCCTGAAATGTTAGCAGCGGGGGATTCTGATGATCACATGGAAGCTGGGTCTGTGAAATGGGGGCGGAATTAAGAGGGAGCCGGATCATTTGTGTACAAACCAAAACCCACTCCCAACTCCTTCCGTTCCAACTCAGCAACCCTACAGGGCCCAACAGAATTCCTTAGGGTCTGTTGGACGGGAAATGCCAACATAAGCAGCCTGCCACATCTGTCGTCCTCAAAGGGGCTGGTGGATGGGCTCGAACTGCTGACCTTTCAGAGTGCTTTAACCATTGGCCACCAGGGCTCTTGAGAATGAGTAGTAAGATTGGTGGGCAGAGGGAGGGGATGAAGGAATTAGTGGGGTAATGGTGGGTATGAATCAATGGTGATTTATTTTATAAAGCACAATGTATGAGAATGATGTTATGAAACAACGTGAATGGAGGAATGTGTGAAACACAATGACGCCTTTGAGCTGTGGTGCTGGAGAAGAGTATTGAATGTTCCATGGACTGCCAAGTAAACAAACAGATCCATCCTAGAGAGGGTTAAACCAGGCTACTCCTTGGAGGCAAGGATTCTGGGGCTTCGTCTGACATACTTTGGACATGTTGTGAGGAGAGACAGGTCTTTGGAGAGGGACATCATGCTTGGTAGAGTAGGGTAGAGGGACAGCGCAGGAGGGGAAGACCCTCTATGAGTTGGATTGATTCAGTGAGGATTGATTCAGTGACTGGGGTAATCGGGATGGGAGTGTCAGAGACAGTGCGATTGGCACAGGACAGAGCAGAGTTTAGGGCTGTTGTACATAGGGTCGCTATGAGTCGCAAACGACTGGATGGCACATAATAACAACAACATGTGAATTTTGTATGCAAACCAATATTAAAGAAAGGTAGTCTTTTTTTAAAAAAGGGAGGCAAGCAGGTTATTGTCCCAGAAGTGGCTTCTGGGGCAGGTGAGAACCTCAACATTGTCACACATATTTGTCTCTTATTACTTGCACGCATGCAGTGCCCACTTTCCCGTTCTCCTGAACGTTGGAGAGAGGCCACAAGGGTTTAGAGTGGGGGAAAAAATAATGTAGACATGGCTCTTTCTGACTCAGGATTCTGACTCCTTTACCTTTCTGCTTTCCTGGTCTCTGGCAGGTGTGAGCATGGCAGAAGGGGACACCCTGATATCAGTGGATTATGAAATTTTTGGGAAGGTGCAAGGGGTGTTTTTCCGCAAGTACACACAGGTATGTGGCCTTCAGGCTTTAGAGACATACCAGAGCTTGGGCATGGGCACAGGAGACATGCTCCTGGCAAGAGTGAATTGAAGAAGCTGCATGTAAAGGAGATTGTAAAGCAGTGGTTGGGAAAATGCTTTGCAGTTGGTAAAACACAACGGAAATGGAAGATTCTACAGCTATTATTGTTCATCTTTTTTTTTAAGAGTGGTACCTGAATGCTGAGACACACGTGTACCACTCTCTTCAGAAGGAAATAGAGGGCTTTCCTGGTTCTCTGTATTGTAACATCAACAAGTGAAGTCACATTTCCTGTGGGAAAACCAATATTGATAAACTAGATGGTACTTAGATGAACTGATGACATAATTGCAATTTATGTAATTGCCTGTCCTTGTGACCCGCCTGGAACAGACTCCCTTTTTCTCATTTTTTCTGACCAGTCTCTATCCCTTACTTAGTTCCTTTCTATTAATTTTTATTTTGAAAGGGCAGTTATCTTTCTTAGCTTCAGCTTTTTCATTAAAAAACATTTTATCCTTTCCAGAATAGGCCATATGACAGTCACCATGGAGTCTGGCATGCTAATTGGAGTAAAAGAGAAAGACTGAGGGGAGGAACAAACAGGCAGCCTCTACCTCTGCTTCAGTGTCACTAATTTTCCCTCAGTGTGTACACACATACTCAATGCAACTTCAGTTTCCCTTCTGCCTTTTGCAGGGAGGTATTGGGCTGATGCCCTGCTAGTATATCTTCACCCCCAAAAGGCAAGCATTATCATTATAAAGGGAGAAAATATTGAAGTTGTCAAGGGTTTTATCTTGAATCTACAATCTAGCCTCATGGGAGTTGTTAGGTGTCATCAAGTTGCCTCTGACTGACAGTGAAGTCATGGAACACTGGTCAGTCCTGCCCCCTCCACCCTAGAGATGCTGCCCTGCCAGCTCTTTTGCTCCCAACAGCTCCTCCTTTACAGTCTGCCTAATGGCAGGCACCGAGGCATGCCCACCTGCGTGCACTGTGATGGCTAGTATAGGTGGGAGTGACATGAGTTACCGCACTGACCCTTCTGACATGCCTTGATAGCTCATTCCTCTGTGGAGCTGGCTGGCTACCTCTTCATCCCCTCCAATGCCATTGCCTGGAGTCAGTTTGCATTCTTCCCACCCCCTTCATGATGCTATTATATATTTGAGTTATGACATTGGCAAAGAATACTGAATATATTAGCCAGAAAAACAAACTTGTTAACAGTTGTGAGGATGGACAGGTTTTTTTTTTCTGCTGTATGCAACAAACCACATGGTGTATTTTAATAGTTGTCTTGTGTTGCACAGTTTGATAGTTGGCAAATTGACAACATCTAACCTCTAAATTGCATCTCTCCTTAGAGGAATAGTGAATGGAGATACAGGAAAATACTTTTTTAAAAATGGAAATAGAATTCACATACTATAAAATCTAGTCTTTTAAAGGATAGTTTTTAGAGGATTTGCAAAGTTGTGCACTGTTTGTTTCTGGAACATTTTTATTATCTCAAAAAGAAACTTCATACCTATCAGCCGTCATTCCTTGTCTACCATACTCCAGCCCCTGGAGCTACTAATCTACTTTTTGGCTTTATGGATTTGCCTATTCTGGATGTTTAATAAGAATGAAATGATATATATGACTTTTTATGTCTGGCTTCTTTTACTTAGCCTAATGCTTTCAAGGTTCATCAGTACTCTCTTCCTTTGTAGAGATGAATATGCATGTGTATGAACCACTCATTATTTATTTATTCTTCATTGATGAACATTTTTGTTTCCACTTCAGAGCTAATTATGAGTAATACTGCTGTGAACATTTGTGTATAAGTGTTTGTGTAGACACTGTTTGGTATCTGCACACACACACACATACACACACACACATAATTGCACAACCCTAGGATTAACACTCCACCCCACCCTTGCCCATTCCTGCCCCTCTGCTTCCACCTTTCCCTCCCCCTTGGATCCCCATATGCATTGTTGGGTTTTTTGTTTTGTTTTGTTTTGTTTTGGTTTTTTGGTTTTTTTCCTCATATGCATTGTACAATAATGGTTTTATACAGTAATTGTCCTTTTGGGACTGAGTTAGTTCACTCAGCATAATATTCTCCAGTCCTTCCCAAATTAGTTGGTTGTTGTTGTTGTTGTTATGTGCCATCGAGTCGTTTCCGACTCATAGCGACCCTATGCACAACAGCTCTAAACCCTGCTCTATCCTGCGCCAACCGCACCGCCTCTGACACACCCATCCCGATTACCCCAGTCACCGAATCAATCCATCTCATAGAGGGTCTTCCCCTCCTGCGCTGTCCCTCCACCCTCCCAAGCATGATGTCCCTCTCCAAGGACCCGTCCCTCCTGGCAACATGTCCAAAGTATGTCAGACGAAGCCCCAGAATCCTTGCCTCCAAGGAGCAGCTTGGTTTAATCCTCTCCAAGATGGATCTGTTTGTTTTCCTGGCAGTCCAGGGTACATTCAGTACCCTTCTCCAGCACCACAGCTCAAAAGCATCCACTCTCCTTCTGTCCTCCCTAGTCATTGTCCAACTCTCTGATGCATAACAAGCGATTGCAAATACCATGACCTGTATCAGGCGCACCTTAGTCTCCAGAGAGACACTGTTGCTCCTGAGTATGTTTAAGAGGTCCCTAACGGCAGACTTTCCCATCGCGATACGCTTTTTGATTTCCTGACTGCTGGTACCAAGAGTGTTAACTGTGGAGCCGAGCAAAGTGAAGCTGTGAACACTCTCAATCTCTTCATCATCCATTTGGCGCTGCCAATTGGTCCAGTGGCGAGAATCTTTGTCTTCTTGACGTTGAGCCTTAGTCCATACTGAAGGCTGCAGTCCTTGACCCTTCGCAGCAAGTGCATGAGGTCCTCCTCAGTTTCAGCAAGCAAGGTTGTGTCATCTGCATAACGGAGATTGTTGATAGATCTTCCACCAATCCTGATGCCACAATTCTCCTCATAGAGCCCAGCCTCTCGAATAATCTGCTCTGCATACATGTTGAAAAGGTATGGAGACAGGATGCATCCCTGGCGTACACCCTTCCCTATTTTGAACCATGCAGTGTTACCCTGCTCTGTTCTGACTACTGCCTCTTGGTCCAAGTATAGGTTTCGTATCAGCACAATTAAATGTTCTGGGATTCCCATTCTTCTCAGAGTCAGCCACAGTTTGTTATGATCCACACAGTCAAATGCCTTTGCATAGTCAATGAAACACAGATAAACATCCCTCTGGTACTCCCTGCTTTCAGCCAAGATCCATCTAACATCAGCAACGATATCCCTAGTACCACGACCCCTTCTAAACCCAGCCTGGACTTCCGGAAGTTCTCTGCTGATGTGCTGTTCTAATCGTTTTTGGATGATCTTCAGCAGAATCTTGCTTGCATCTGAAATCAATGACACTGTTCTGTAGTTTCCACACTCAGTTGGGTCACCTTTCTTTGGAATGGGAACAAATATAGATCTCTTCCTGTCAGTTGGCCAAGTGGTTGTTCTCCAGATTTCTTGGCACAACTTGGTGAGCACGTCCAGGGCAACATCTGTTATCTGAAATACTTCAGTTGGTATACCATCTATTCCTGGGGCTTTATTTTTTGCTATTTCCTTCAAAGCAGCTTGAACTTCTTCCTTCATCACCATAGGCTCTTGCTCATATGTTATTTCTTTAAATTCCTCTGTATCTGCCAATTCCTTTCTATATAATGACTCAGTATATTCCTTCCATCTTCTTTTAATACTTCCTGGATCATTTAATATTCTGCCCGAAGCATCCTTGATTACAGCAACTCTAGGTTTGAATCTGTTCTTCAGTTCCTTGAGCTTAAGAAATGCTGAGCGAGTTCGGCCCTTTTGATTTTCTGACTCTAGTTCCTCGCACATTTCATTGTAGTATTTTGCTTTGCCTTTTGGAATCTTCTGTTCAGCTCTTTAGTATCTTGAATTCTTCCTTGTGCTTTGGCTTCTCTTTGCTCCTGTGTGCTGTGTAGTATTCCATTGTATGAATGTACCACAACATCTCAATTCATTACTTTGTAGCTGGACATCTGAACTGTTTCCATGTTCTTGTGATGGTAAATAACGCTGCTATGAACACTGGTGTACAAGTTTCTGTTTGAGACTTAGTTTTTATTTTCTTGGGGTATAGTCTAAGCAGTGCAATAGCTGGGTCATATGGAATTTCTATGTTCAGCTTTTTGAGGAAGCGCCAAACTGCTTTTCAGAGTGATTGTATAATTTTACAACTCCACCGACAATGTATAGCGTTCCTAACTGGCCACATCCCCCCAACATTTATTACTTGCTGTCCTGTTAAACTTTGTCACTGTTACTGGAGTGAGATGGGATCTCATTGTGATTTTGATTTGCATCTCTCTTATTGCCAGTGATTTGGAACATTTGATTATGTGTTTGTTGGGCATTCTAATATCTTCCTCTGTGAAAATTCTTTCCATGTCTTTTGCCCATTTTGTAATTGTATTATGAGTCTTTTTCTTGTGGAGGCCCAGGAATATTCTAGAAACTTTTGTAATGAGACTATTGTCTGGCATGGTATTGCCTAATGTTCGTTCTCAGTAGGTAGGTTTTATTTTCACCGTATTGGAAAAAAATCTTTGATGTGCACAAGATTTACTCTTTAGAATGTCCCATTCATCAGTTTTATCCTCTTCATATTGTGCATTTCTGGCTGTATTTGGCAGTCTCCTTATACCGTAGACTACAGCTTCTAAACTTGATCCCACTTTATCTCTTATGAACTTTGTGGTTTGGGGCTCTACTCCCAAGATCCACCTTGAGGATCTTTTGTGTATAGTGTGAGAGGTGGATCCTATTTCAGCTTTTTGTAGGTAGGAGTCCAGTTTTGCCAGCACCATTTGTTGAAGAGGTTACCATTTCCCCATTTATTTCCTTGTCAATTATCAGTTGACCATAGATATCTGGGTCTGTTTCTGAGTTCTCAGTTTTGTTCTGCTGGTCTGTGTGCCTGTCATTGTACTAGTACCACTCTGTTTTTGAAATTATTCATTCATTGTTGCACACAATTGATTTTTACATGGTGATCTTGTATTCTAAAATCTTATATAAATCTTACACTTATTTTGTTAAATTTTTTCTGAAAAAATTTTTTATGCTATTAGGGATTGAATTGTCTTCTTGATTTCATTTTGGATTGTTCTTTGCAAGTTTTTATAGAAATTCAATTGACTTTGACATGCTCATCTTGTATTCTAAAACCTCACTGAGTTTGTTTATTAGCATTAATAATTTACTTTTTTTTAAAAAAGATCCATGGGTTTTTCTTATATAAGATTGTCATATGTGAATAGTCTTTGCTTTTTCCTTTCCAATCTGAATGCCTATTATTTCTTTTTCCTGAGCAAACCCTCCAATTTAACAATGAATAGGAATGTTAAGCAGACCTCCATGTTTTGGTTTTGGTCTTAGGGGAGAAGCACTCAGTCTTTCTTTCCCTGGTAAGTACAGTGTTATCTGTGGGTTTTCATAAATGCCCTTTAACACATTGAGATGTTGCCTTCTTTTCCTAGTTTGTTGAGTGGTTTGTTGTTGTTGTTTTTTTAAATCATGAAAGGATACTGGATTTTGTAAAAGAATTTTTTTTGTTAAACATTGAGGTGATTATGTGGTTTTTATTTATTGATTTTGTGTATTGCAGTAACTAAGTTTTCAATGTTGAACCAACCTTGCATGTTATTAAGTGCTGTCGAGTTGCCTGTGACTCATAGCGACCCTATGTACAACGGCCCTAAACCCTGCTCTATCCTGTGCCAATCTCACTGCCTCTGACACACCTACCACCATTACCGCAGTCACTGAAATCAGTCTATCTTACCGAGGGTCTTCTTTGCCTCCGCTGTCCCTCCACCCTCTCAAGCATGATGTCCGTCTCCAAGGACTGATCCCGCCTTGCAACATGTCCAAAGTTTGTCAGACAAAACTTCAGAATCCTTGCCTCCAAGGTGCAGCCTGGCTTCACCTTCTCCAGGATGAACTTGTTTGTTTTCCTAGCAGTCCATGGTATATTCAATACTTTTCTCCAGCACCACAGCTCAAAGGCATCAATTCTCCTTCTATAATCCCTAGTCATTGTCCAGCTTTCTGATGCATAACAAGTGATTGCAAAGACCATGGCCTGTATCAGGCACACCCTAGTCTCCAGACTGACATGCTTGCTCTTCAGTATTTTGGAGAGGTCTGTGACAGCAGACTTTCCCAGTGCAATTTGTCTTTTAATTTCCTGGCTGCTGGTACCAAGCATGTTCATTGTAGAGCCAAGCAAACTGAAACTGTCAACAATCTCAATCCTTTCACCAGCTATCATGATGCTGCCAATCAGCCTATCTAGTCTTGGTGTAGAGTCTTTTTCATATCCTGATGGACTGATTTTGTTGAAGATTTTTACATCTGTGTTCTTGATGGTTGTTGATCTGAGGTTTCATTTTCTTATGATACCTTTGGATTTAATATGAGGGCAATTCTGGTCTCATAGAATATATTTCCTATTTCCTGGAAGAATTGGCGACATATTGGTGAAAGATTATTTAAATATTTGGTAGAATTCACCTTTGAAGTAATTTGGTTGAAGGCTTATATTTATTGGAAGTTATAAAAAATTATTAAATTCCTTTACTTATTCCAAGTGTGGTCACCTTTTTACTTTCTACTTCCTACCATTTCAGTGAATTTAGTCTGTAGATATCTATCCTTTTAGACTAAACTTTGGTTGACATACAGCTGTTAGTGTTGTTAGGTTCCCACAAGTCAGGCCTACCTGATAATAACTGTGTGTGTAACAGGTGGAAACACTGCCCAATCCCATGCCATCCTCATAGAACAATAGGTAAGTCTGAACCTATCATTGTAACCAGCATCAGTTGACTTCCTTAAAAAGTCTTCTTTTTCACTCACCCTCTTCTTTACTAAACATAATGTACCTCTCCAGGGATTCCTGCTGATTAAGTCAAAGTCCAAAGTCATTCTTGCCATCCTCATGTCTAAAGAACAGTTTGGCTGTTTCTTCCAGGAAAGATTTGTTCATTCTTCTGTTAGCTCAAAGTATATTTATCATACTTCACTCACCAACACAATAATTCAAATGCATCAGTTCTTTTTCACTATCCAACTTGTGCACACCTAATTCTTTCTTTCTTATTGCTGTCCATAGCTGACCTTCCACTTGGTTTCCAGTACCATAAATCATAGGAGAGGATTGCCTATCTTTTGTCCACTGAGCTGCAGTAATGGATTCAAACTGCCAGACAAGCTTGACATCTGGCTTTGCAGTACAACTTGGGTCTAGACCACTGAAGCTCCCTTACATGCATATTGGCTTATCAAGTACTTGTGATAATCAAAATAACATCCTTACTTTTCAACACATTGAAGTGGTCTTCTGCAGCAGTTTTGCAATAGAGTGCATCACCTGATTTCTTGACTTCTGTTTCCTTGGTGTTACAAAAGGAAATCCTTGAGAATTTATGTGTTCTCTCCATTCATCATAGCGTTGCTTGTTGGTCCACTGTTGAGGATTTTTATTTTATGTTCAATGATAATCTGTAATGAATAAGGTAGTCTTTAATCTTCATTAATAAATTCTTTAAGTCCTCTTCACTTTCAGCACCCAGGGCTGGGTCTTATGCACATAAATATACAAATAAAAGCTATAGGTAATTTTCATTCATTACTTGTAAAATCTTGGAGTAGTTTGTTCATCCTCCAGGGTTCAGAGAAATTACAATGCAATATAAAATATTTGACTAGTATAATCTCATACTTAAAACTTGATACATTCTTTTTTTTTTTTTGGCCTCCACTTTTTTTTTTAATTAATTTAGCTGGTTTATTTTAACTTGATACATTCTTAAAGTGTTACTACCTATTATTCTAAGAAGAAGAACTAGCCAGTTCTCTAGGTTAAATTGAAGTAGAAGAATGCAGTTGTTGTGGAATTCTGGCATCTGAACATCCATTCTGTTTAAACTTCCATTTTCTTTTGTCATTAATAATTGAAAGCTTTTCTAATATCCGAATTATGTATTTAAGTAAAAATATAATGACCCCTGCAAAACATTATTATATCCTATACATTTTTACAGTCTTGTTACAGTTTAATGACTGAAAAGAAATTGAGAAGGCCAGGAAGGAGTTACTAAAATGATTCTTTGGTCTTCTTAAATCCTATTTAACTTGAAAGGAATTGAGATTATCTCAATGGAAGAGAAGAATGTTGAGAGAACAGTTGGGCTCAGCAAAGTTGGGGTTTAGAGGCTGATGACTAGATACTTTTCTTCTCTAGGAGAATAACAGAAAGTGGGATTTTGGTGCAACATAAAAATGTTAGGTTAAAAGTTCCTCTACCATGAGAACAACTGATTGATTTGCCAGGAAGTTGTGAAATTCTCTCTAATAATCTTGAAAGATTTGATGGGCACATATTCATCTGGATTTGTTTAGGTGTGGTCCTGGTTAAAGACAAAGGAAAGGATCAGATAACATCATGGTTTTTTGTTTTTAATATACCCAGCAGATTTTTGATTAGGAGAAGGAAGCATGAACAAGTTACAACTCAGTATCCCAACATCAGTCAGCCTTAGGGAATAAGTTTGAAAGCATCTGTTTTGGACTTGCGTCTTTAGTATTAAATGAAATTGACTACATGGTGAAAAATTCTAGTGCTTGGATTTTTCATAGGTTAGAAGAAATGGAGTTGAGTGGCCAACACTTCATATTAAAATCAGCAATTGAAATCCTCCTTGCTGGTCTTTGTGTTATGACTGTTCTGGACAATATTAAATTAGTCTCACTTGATTATAGGTCAAGAATCTGGCACAGATTATGGTCTCTCTCACTTTGTTTTCTTCAATCTCATTGGATCTCTCTCTTTGTCTTTTTCTTTGCCTTAGGCTGAGAGTAAAAAGCTGGGCTTGGTAGGCTGGGTTCAGAACACTGACCAGGGCACGGTGCAAGGACAATTGCAAGGTCCCACCTCAAAAGTACGCCATATGCAAGAATGGCTTGAGACAAAAGGAAGCCCCAAATCACGCATTGACAAAGCACAATTCAACAATGAAAAAGTCATCATAAAGTTGGATTACGCTGACTTCCAAATTATGAAATAATAGTTTTAATTTAAATTTTCTAAGATAAACTCATTGGTTTTGTTTTTATTGTTAGTAGAGGTTGACTTATTACATGTTCAGTATTAGAATTTGTCAATGTTATTTAATATCAGATATTAGAATGCTACTGTATATTACATGTAAAATGGATTACAACCACAAACATGATTCTAACCAATAAAAACCTCATTAGAATCTCTGCTTAGATTGTTGTGTTTTTTTTTCCTTCACTGAACTCTTCTTTTTGACAAAGTAAGAAGTGTTACTAAAAAAAAAAGTGTTACTCAACAAACATTCATGGGAAGAGTATTTTGATGCTTAACAGTGATCTGAAGGAAAGAAAAAGCAGTTTTCTTGAATCATTTCCTTATAAGATTTCCATGTAATTTTACTCAGGAAATTTCATTTCTAATAAGAAATGGCCCAAGTTTATAGCTACTTAAATTGTATTTTGGACTGATCACTTTTCTACTGTGATTATTTTCCTCCAGGTTAATAACTGACATTAAGCAATAATCAGGACTTGGTCTCATCAGCCTATAGCTCTCCTAATTTGGTTTGTTCAGTCATGTAAATAAGTATACATCAGATGTTTGACAAATTTGTCATAATTCTCAACTTTGTGTGATTTGAGTGAAAGTTTGCAAAGCATACTGGCTTTTCAATCATTCAGGCACATTTTGTTCCATATGATTAATTATAAAACACAATGCTTTATCATTCATTCAATCAATACTGTCCTTTCTTTCACCCGTCTTAATAAGTGTTTACTTGGGGGGTGGTAAAAAGGAATAGGCAAAGGGCAATGGGGACTTGTTGAAATGGGTTGCAAAAGGCATTGATCAATGGTAAATAATTATGTAAAACAATATATATGAATGAATAAAACACAAGGTACATGAAAAAAAGTAGATGAATTATTTTAAAAATACAGAAAGAACCCATTAAGAAAACCAGCCAAACAAAAATAAGTATTTGTTATTTATCTCCATTGTTTTGCCTGTAATCATACTAGAATGATTCTGTCTGTAAACATTTTTTTAAACTAGTAGTTCTGATACAATATTTATCTTTTTGTTACTGATTCATTTCACTCAGCATTATGTCCCCTAGATTAATCTATGGCATGCACTGTTTCATGAATTCTTCATTGTTTTTCAACTTTTTTAAAAAATAAAGTCTCCATGAAAAATGCCACAGAAAATAGAAGCTGAGGACTGGCTAATGAGTTTAAACAAACATACATACACACACCGAACATACCACTTTGCTCACTCTGAGGTGTTCCACCCTCATCCAGATAGAAAAGAAATTGCGTTATGATTATACCAGAAAGCCGGTGGAATGCGACTTGGTGTTCTCATCTGTAAAGTTAGAGACAAAATGCAGAGCTTCTAGTCATTTCCAGCTCTGAAATACTACGTAATCCTGTAAAATGGAAAGCTCAGGATTCACTCATTCATGCACTGACTGTCTAGGTGTTGTTCTGTGCCATGGAGATAAAGCAGGTGAGCATTATGCAGAGTGAACTAACTCAGTCCCATAAGGACAAATACTGTGTAAAACCATAACTGTAGAATGATTATGAGGATCCAAGGCAGGGGGAGGGTGGAAGCGGATGAGTGAGGATAGGCGCGCGCGCGTGTGTGTGTGTGTGTGTGTGTGTGTGTGTGTGTGTTGGGTTAATCAGGGTCGCACAATTTGATGGGAAATATCCCATTCGAACTTTGTAAATAAACCAGTATAAAGTTTAAAAAATAAAACAATTACCTTCATATACCTTGTGTGAAGCTTATAGGAGAAGACATTAAGCAGAAATAAAACATAGGATTAAATTCTAATAACACACTTAACCATTAACATAAGGTTTTTGGGTCGAGTTCACTGGCAAGAAAGGCTAGGAGTCTATTGAAAACTCTAGGGAGCACAGTTCTATTCAGACACATGAGCTTGCCAAGAGTTGGAATCTACTACATGGCAAGTGGGTTTTGGTTGAGCAAGCAGAAGATAAAAAGAGCAGGGAGTATACAAAAGAAAAAAACACCTTCCACTTCATGTCAAAGGGAAACAGGGACCAAGAATGGGTTGTTACTGACTTTTAAGAGTTCTCCTGCACTGCAATCCCAGAGAGAGGCAGGGGCAATCTCCTCCTGTACCAGTCAGATCTGATTTGATGGTACACACAAAAAACCCCCATAAAATTTAAAAAAGAAAAAAAAGAGTTCTCAAGCGAGTACCACGGTGCGCATGCGCAGAGCTGTGTCGCGTCGGAAGTAATCCCAGCGGGCGCGCTGAGTGGCGCATGCTCGCGGGCTCGCGCGTGCACGTGTCTCGCGGGCCGGTTCTCGCGCGTCGGGCGTCAGAGGCGGTTGGTATTTGGGGTTAGAGCAGCGTAGATTGAGTGTTTTGGGGAAAGCACATGACCAAAAGGGTAGTATCGGGGCCTCTACTAACACTGCAGGGGCTTGGCGGCCGCCGCGGGCCAGCTGCTTGGACCCAGATGTCCCCTGGCCCGGGAGGCCTCCGCCGCCTTCCTTGTGCACGGGCGCCTGCGTCAAGGGTCAAGCAGACGGGTGTTGAGGGGGTCGGGGCGCCTGGAGGCCTGCGGCGGGTCCCTCCTCCAGGCCTCCTCCGGCCCCGGGTCGGCTTCTTCCTCTGGGCCCCGGGTCTGCTCCCTCTTAGAGATCTTGTTTCTGGACCAAGACAAAACCAGCCCCAGGAGTTCATTAAACACTTAATCCTTCATTTGTTGCCAGCTGCTCTACTCATTCTTTTAGAAATGATCAGATGTGGAATTAACATCCCCAATTTTTCCCGGTTTGAAAAACTATCCCTGACCACCCACCTGGAGAGGTAGAGCCTATGCAGCCCTCTCATTTATTAAGATGGGAGAGGCTTTTAAACTGCATTAGAATCGTAGGTTGAGTTCGGTTGTTTATAGGGTTTGTCTGTTGTCTTTTTTTTTTTTTTTTAAGTTTTCCCTAACTTTAGAAAACCTTAACATCAGACAGCTTCTTGCTGTCATTATTATGTCATTATTATTAGTTTTGTGGCCAAGGGAGTATCTTTAAAAACCAAACGAGTATCGATTATGAATATGACCTTCTTTTTCTAAAATAACCTCAAAACATTTTCTCTAATACACATAGAAGAGTGGTTGTTGTTGTTGTTATGTGCCGTCGAGTCATTGGCGACTCATAGCGACCCTATGTACAACAGCCCTAAACCGTGCTCTATCCTGTGCCAATCTCATTGTCTCTGACAATAAAAGAGTGGAGAGAAAAAAAAAAATCAAATGATTCAGAAAGGCTTATAATGAAAAAGAAATTTCCTGCCTCACTCCTTTCCATAACTAACTCTTTTGCCTGAGGCTACTACACTTAAGCAGTAATAATAATCCCTTAATATCCACCTCTCTGTGCTACAATTTGATCATTTTCTATTTTATCCCATTGCTTCACCTTCTTTAATTACAAGGCCTCCTTCATTATAAGTATTTTCTACAAGTTACAGTTATTGTGTAATATATAAATGTTATGAAACTAGCTTGGAAATGTTCTCTATTTTCCTGAATAATTTCTAGCTAATGTTTCTTAGCCAAATTTAGTTTAGGCATCTGTTTCTGGTGAAGGGGTTAGAACTTCGAAATACTGTCTTAATGGGTCAGCTTCAAATGTGATTATGATTTTACTTTAGGGCATGTGGGATTTAGAAAAGAGCAATGAAAATTAAGAAATTATGAATGCTGCTTTGGAGGTTAAATCCATTGCACCAAGCATGTGCTGTATATCTGCCTAGCAATCAGAACTATACAATTTTTTGTTTGTTTTAGTTTGTGTTAATAAAGACATTTCGTTTCCCTCAAATGATAATTCCTTATAATGCTTGAGAAGAATAGACAACATTGTGTAAACTCTGATTCCACGTGTTTTCCCCCCCTCCCATAGGCAAGTCTTTCCAGTCAGAAAAGGAAATCACTGTCTGGCATCCACACCAGCTTTCTACCTGCCATGATCAAGTGCTTGTCGGATGAAGTGCAAGCCAAGTTGCGTTCTGGTTTGGCCATAAACTCCTTGGGCCAGTGTGTTGAGGAACTTGCCCTCAACAGCATTGATGCTGAAGCGAAATGTGTGGCTGTCAGAGTGAACATGGAGACCTTCCAAGTTCAAGTGATAGACAATGGCTGTGGGATGGGGAGTGAAGATGTTGACAAGGCGGGGAATCGTTACTTCACTAGTAAATGCAGCTCTTTGCAGGACTTGGAGAATCCAAAGTTTTATGGTTTCCGTGGGGAGGCCTTGGCAAGTATAGCTGACATGGCCAGTGCTGTGGAAATTTCGTCCAAGAAAAACAGGACAATGAAAACTTTTGTGAAACTGTTTCAGAATGGAAAAGCCCTGGAAGCCTGTGAAGCTGACTTGACAAGACCAAGTGCTGGAACAACGGTAACAGTTTATAACCTCTTTTACCAGTTACCTGTAAGGAGAAAATGCATGGATCCCAGACTGGAGTTTGAGAAGGTTCGGCAGAGGGTTGAAGCTCTCTCGCTCATGCACCCTTCCATTTCTTTCTCTTTGAGAAATGATGTTTCTGGTTCCATGGTTCTTCAACTCTCTAAAACCAAGGACATATGTTCCCGATTTTGTCAAATTTATGGACTAGGTAGGTCTCAAAAGCTACGAGAAATAAAATTTAAATATAAGGAGTTTGAGCTTAGTGGATATATCAGCTCTGAGGCACATTACAATAAGAATATGCAGTTTTTGTTTGTGAACAAAAGACTAGTTTTAAAGACAAAGTTGCATAAACTCATTGACTTTTTATTAAGGAAAGAAAGTAGTATATGCAAGCCAAAGAATGGCTCTGCCAGTCGACAAACGAATTCAAGTCCTCGGCATCGGACGAACCCAGAACTTCATGGGATATATGTAATTAACGTGGAGTGCCAGTTCTGTGAATATGATGTGTGCATGGAGCCAGCAAAAACTCTGATTGAGTTTCAGAACTGGGATTCTCTCTTGGTTTGCATTCAAGAAGGAGTGAAAATGTTTTTAAAGAAAGAAAAATTATTTGTGGAGTTATCAGGTGAAGACATTAAGGAGTTTAGTGAAGATAATGATTTTAGTTTATTTGGTACCACTCTTCAGAAGAGTATGTCCTCTAATGAGACGTTTGAGCAGACCTCTTTTCAGGAAGCATGTAATAATATTTTGGATTCCTATGAAATGTTTAATTTGCAATCAAAAGCTGTGAAAAGAAAAGCTACTATGGAAGACGTAAACATTCAGAATTCGAGGGATTCAGAAGCTATTCAAAAAAAGACCAATGACTCATTTTTGCCCATCTTTGAACCACACATCCCAGGCAGTAGCCAAATTACAGAGTCATCTTTACAAAAGAAAGATAATTCTAGCTTAGAGTCAAGGATCTTAGATCAAGAGATAGTTAAAACATCAGAAGAAAATGAGAAACATAAAAAAACCTGCTTGGAACTTGACGCTCCAGAAAATACATGTGGAACAAGTTCAGAAATATTTGCAAGCCCATTTCACACACCATGTCACTTTGAAGACAATGGGAAAGATCTAGAAATACAGAACATTCATAGTACTGTTAATGACATACCTGCCAACAACCTGAACAAGAATAAAACTCAGAATCAACTGGAGAAATTTAAAGATACTATGGAAATGGAATGTCAACCTTTGCCTTTTGAGACAATGTTATTGAGTGCACGTGACAGAGGTGAAGAGAAAAGAAAAAAGGAGCCTAGTAATCATGAAAACAAAAATGCTTTTTGTTATGGACAAGTTAAGTTATGTTCCACTGGCTTTATAACTCACGTGGTACAAAATGAGCAAACTAAATCAACTGAAACAGAACATTCATTTAAAAACTGTGTTTGGCCTGGTCCTGTGAATGCCAGAGAAACACTTGGAAATGGACCATACCATTCAGTTGAGACTGCAAACATTAACAGTTTAACTGACACTTTAAGTAAAGAATCTGCTCAACAGTCCGACAAAATATTTTGCAGAACAAATACAAGTTATAGACCACAGAACAAACCTATAGAGACTTGTGAAAATATTGTGGTTCAGGGAGATGATAGAACACCACACCTAAATTGCCTACTCCCTGATACATCCTCCACTTTCCCTTGGAATAGACATGCTTCATGTGGTACTAAGAAAACAGATACACTGATTGGCCCCTCCAAACCCACAGCCTGGAAGAAGCTACACTTGAGCTCGCAGCTCGGATCTTTAGAGAAGTTTAAGAGGCAATATGGGAAGGTTAAAAATCCTATGGATAAAGAAGTAGAGGAAAATAATTTTGAAGGTGCTGCTGATTTCCAACCCCAACTTGAGTCTGACTCTCTGCTGATAGATAAGAGCCATTTAGATACCTCTCTTACTTGGAAAACCACTGTGAAGCACATTGATTCCGATGGTAGTTGTCAAACAGCAGGTCGCACCTTTTATTCAGAGAAGTTTCTGTCTTCCAAAGGAGATAATTTAGAACAAGAAACAAGAGAAGGTCCTATAGCTTTGAAGGAGCTTTCTCATTTTCCCCAGAAACCTTTGAGTTTTGAGAAGTCACCTGAGTCACTAGCCTCTAAATTGTCCAAAATGAAGAGTTCTGAGAGAGAGACTCAGACAATGGAGATGAGTCATTGTAATGAATTTTCACAATTGAATACCAATAGGGATAACAGACTAACCCTAGAGTCTTGTAAATTATTTAAAAATGAGCATCAGAAACCAGAAAATGGCATCATTCTAACACCAGACCCTGATAATTCCTTTAATAAAGGTATGGAAATGCAGTCTGTCAACAATACAACAGCAAACTGTGTGGTACCAGAAACTCCTTTCCTATTATTACCCTGTAATAATTCTCAAGGTACCAGTAAAGTTGCAGGTGATGGTTTACCTTCAGTAGCCCAGATAGGAAATTCTGACTCTGCTAGTAGAACGACGTTAATGAGTCATGTAGAAGATTCCCAGGGTGACCAAAATGAAACTTGTTTTCAGAGTGAGGAAGCTGAAGCTTGCTTGAAAAATGAAGACTCAAGCACACGTTCTTTGGATTGGCAGCAACAGTTTGATGTCACGCTGGGAAGGATGGTTTACATCAACAGAGTAACTGGACTTAGCACATTCATTGCTCCTACAAAGGACTCTGAGGCAGCTTGTATGAAAGATCTGACCACTGTGGCTGTGAATGTTGTCCTTGAAAATGGTAAGTGTAGCGTTCACCAGCAGGAAATGCTTTTTGAAGAACAGAAATAATCCTCAAGAAAAAGAATCCAGATAGAACATTGTGAAGATTACGTTATAATATTAAAACACAATGTATTTTATGGTATATGAATGCCCTCTAGGCCCCAAACTAAACAGGCTGTTAGGAAATGTGTAAGTACGTGTGTGCGTAGATAAGAAGCCACTGAAATGTCATGAAAGTGATCCTATTGTTAGCTGGAAAGAGCCAGTGGCGCTTCCGTAGCCCTACCTTCCACCCCACACCCCAAATAACATAAATGTATTCTTGAGAGAATTCACCTTTTGAAGCATCTGCAGTATCTGGGTTTTTTTCTGGGAGTTGTTCTATGTAGTTCCCAAGTAGGGTCAGGATCCTAGGTTTTCCTTCTAGAATTGATGGCGCTATGCAATACCATATTGATGAACTTCCCCCTTTTTTTTTTTGTTTCTTCCAGAAAGTAGGACATGACCATAACTTTTTTGTGGTACAAATTAAGCCTGCTTTCATAACAATACTTTTCAGATGGACTCTGTGCACATAATGCTGGTCCACTTGATCTGCTGAGACTGTTAAGTAGCTGTTATTCAGGAAGATGGTCACGTGCCTTCCAGATCATACAGCAAGGCTGCTGAAAGCCTGGACCAGGACTCTGAGCTCTCCAGTCTCAGTCAGTATTAGAAGTGACATTGTTTTGGCAGCGTGTTGAGAGCCAGATGTTGGGAGATGGTAAAGCTGATTTCCATCTGGCTGTAATCTTGGTTTCACACCAGGAGGATACACATTAGATGTGCATCCATAATAAAACACTTGTAAAGCTGCACACGAAACTAGTATGCATGTAACTGCAAATCAATTTATATTTTCGCTGTTTGATGACTGTGTCCAGCAGAAGACTCTTAAGATATTTAACATCAGATGAGATCTTCACTTTTCAATATATTTTTCCAGTTTTTCCCCTTCTTGGGAAAAGTATTAAATATGAGGAGAAAGCCATGTCTTTAATACTACTTCTGAGACAATCTTGTTTTTAAAGACCCATGTGTTTTAGCCAAATTGTTTTCTGCCTTGGCATATTCTAAATTCTTATCAGAGGTAATTCTAAGATGCTGGCACCTCATCTTTCTGAAATGCAACTGCTTCTGGGATCATGCCAGAATATAACTGGATTACATTAAACTGGAATGATTGTTGCTAAAACAAAGGATATCTTGACCGCCACACTCAATGTAAACATCTGCTCCTGTTAAATGAATCTAATTATTTAAAACTTTTCAACCTACTTAACTTTGTAGATTAGCAAATCTTGCAGTGAACTTTTGAGGGCTATGTTAATTCATAGTTTCATAATGAAAGTTTGGTGTAGAAACAAATTCCTTGAGTAGACCTCTCCAAAGCACCCTTCATTGAAGCAGGATGCTACTTTTCAGGAAAAGGCTGTTGCCTTACAGGACATTAGGACATTGTTGAACTAGACATAAAATCATTCCATAAAATGATTGAAAAATGGTAAATTTTATCATAAAAAAAAAAAGGATCTGTAATGGTAATTTGAAGGAGTAATAGTATGTTCCAAGTCCTGGTGATGTTTTCTTTAAAATGGTGGCTTAGTAACAAGGAATTTTGCTGCCAACCCAAAGGTATGAGGTTCAAATCCACCAGCTACTTACTTCTCAGGAGAAGGATGAATAATACTCTCATGCAACTTATTGCTTCTGAAAACCCACCGGGGGGTCAACTGTGAGCCAGTTCCAACCCAGTGGTGCTCAGTGGTGTTTTCTACCACCAGATTTAGAAAAATCTTGTTCATTCCAGTTCAAAAACAGTCAAATTGAGCATTGTTTCTAAGAGTCAAGTGTGATAATCCTTCACAGAGAAGGGTAAATTTGGGCCAGATTTTGCTAGACTTTGACATTTGCATTGAGAACCCTTCATTCATTCATCAGTTCATTCAGAAATCACCGAGGGTTCTTGCCACTCCTGTTGCTGCCGTGACTGGAGCTTGATTGACTGCTTCTAAGAGTTTATAGCAGTGGGCTGAAGTGCAGCTTTCGAAACAAATGTGAAGATGAGCCTTGTCATTTGGGGTTTGAGAAAACTGCCAAGTTGTGAAAGATGATATTAAGTATCACTATGTATACAATTGTGAGGAGCCGTGGTGACATTGTTCTGCCTGAAAGGTCAGAGTTTAATTCCACCAGTTTAAGTCCACATGAGCTCCATGTGATGGACTGTCACCTCTGGAAAGACCTACAGCCTCAGAATCCCAACAGAAGATTGCTGAGTTGGAGCTGACTTCTTGGCCGAGGGCTTTTGTTTTTTTTTTTTTTTATTTCTGTCTAGCATTGAATCCTGGTGGTGCAGTGGCTGATAATTGGAAGGTTGGCAGTTTTCACTTACCAGCTATGGGAGAAGAACGTGGCAGTCCTTGGGAACCCTCAGAGGCAGTTCTGCTCTGCCCTGCAGAGTCCCTAAGAGTCAAAAGCAACTACCTAGCAATGGATAGCTGTCGAGCAGAAGGGGCCCTGGTGGCACAGTGTTTAAGCACTCATATGCTACCAAGAAGATGGGAAATTCAGCCTCACCAGCTGCTCTGTCGGAGAATGCTGTAGTTTCTCTAAAGAGTACAGCTTCAGAAGCTCTGTGGGGCACTTCTACTCCATCTGTTAGGTTTTGTGTGAGTCCGAAACAATTTGGTAGTAGTGTGTTTATCTGTCTAACCCAAGATTGTTCTAAAATAACCCTGTTAAAACTTGGGGATGACATTTCTTGGCTGTGGGGGCTGTTCTGTGTGGTGTCGGATGATCAGCACCATCTCCGGCCTGTCTGCTAGATACTTCTAGCATTCTTACCCCAAATTGAGACACCAAGAATGTTTCAAGACATTGCCAGATACGCTCCCCACCAAAGTAGAATTGCCCTCTGCTTTCTTCAGAGCTGCTGTGACCTCTGTACTCTTGTCTGGCAAAGATGGAGAAAGGAGTGTTGGTGTAGATTCCTAAATGTGTAGTTCTGTAGAATGATGACTCTTACACAATAGTGTTTAGTAGTTCACTTTCTGTCTTAATTTGTGCAGAGATAGATTTTATTATTTGATATTTGTAATGGCTTATTTGTATTTTGCACTCCAATTTCCAGATTTTTCTTTTCTTATATTTAGGGTTTCAGTACAAGTGTTACCCTTTTAGAAGCGACCTTGTTCTTCCTTTCCTCCCTAGAGCTCGGGAAGAGAGGACTGTGGTGAGACAGAATAACAAAGGTAGGGGCAACGACAGATATGGCTATCACAGACCACCTAGTACGTATCGTACCACCTAGCACAAAAAACAAAGCACTGCGTGCGTTAATAAGCTTTATCAGCGCCAGCTGTGCCTTACCAGAACCAGGAATTCCCCACGGTCCTGTTTAACAGCAGAACTAAGTAATTCAGTGCATGCATTTAGATCAGAAATTACTTTGCCAGACTTGAGGTCAGTACTGAGTGATTATGCATATTCCACAGTATCTTGTGTTTGAGTAAATTGTCTCATTTTTTAGTTCTCATTTTTAAAAGATTAGAATTGTACCTTGTATTCCAATAGTTTTAGCTAAAATAACAACTCTTGTCTTTCAAAAAGGTCATATAAATTTTTTTTATCATTTTCTATTAAGTAGGTAAGAAATATATTTTTGGCTAAAGACTATAAACTATAAATTTGAGCCATAGTTTCTTCTAGAATTGTATTTTGGAGTATCTTTATAAACAGTGCAGAGAAAAGCTTTAATGCCAGAAGATGCTGTGAGCAACTCTGATTTTACACAGCCACAGATCGAGAGGATTCAGTGATGGAACAAATACTGAATACTTGTAGAATATAGGAGTATGTCTGCTCTTGTTTAAGGTTGCATCATAGCAGATAGGAGACACCATTTGTCCCTTTTGCCTGAGGTTCTTGCCAACTTCATGTGTCCATTTTTTTGTCCTAGATACTGTGGATAATGCTTCAGGTGGTGAATCACTTCAGTCTTTGTTCTCAAAATGGGACAATCCAGTATTTGCCCATTATCCAGAGGTAGGATTACAGCAGTTTTTCTTTGCCTGCTATTTGAAATTTGAGTTTCCTTTAAGCTATATATGAACCTAAATGACTGTGCTAATTTCGAGTTATGCATACAAACTGGGCATGTGTCTTTAGACTTCCTTTGGAAATGAAATATTTAATGTGGAGAAGAATCATCAAAATTTATAGTATATTGGGAGTTGAGCATTTTGGAGTCAGAATATATAATCAGTGTGTGAGCCACCCTTGGATGCCCTGAGCTTTGGCAAAGCTTTAAGGGTGGTGATAATAAAAACTGTTACCATTAGGCAAAGTAGTGGCTCTCCTACTGGAGGAACAGCTCATTGTTGGATTGGGTGTATGTTTTCTCCAGTGTGATGATCACAGAACGTACTGTTTGTGTTGTAATGAGTGTATGTGTATAACAAATGAGCGTTTGATTACTGATTCTTCAGTTAAAATGGCTTTCAGGACTTGAATTTGGAGCATAGACAGGTTGTTCTCAATCACTTATTGGTCTTTGTTAGTAATACTCTTTAGAAAGGCAAAGTGTTACATAATTCATATGACCTTCTGAATTCCTTTAAGTTCCATGAATTCATCCCACTATTAGGGTCTGTGAGAATGAGTGCTCTCAAAGCACTTTGAAGCCTTTGGTGAGACAATTCTGAAGACTCAAAATGAAACAGTGAATGATATTTGTGCTGGATCTTTGTAGGTTGCTGTTGATGTAAGCAGTGGCCAGGCTGAGAGCTTAGCAGTGAAAATTCATAACATCTTGTATCCATATCGTTTCACCAAAGAAATGATTCATTCAATGCAGGTAAAAGTTTGGCTTTTGTATATCTAAAACTTAAGTTAGACTAACTCTTGCAAAATTTATTTATTCAATGATACAGACCACAATGGTCAAATGTTTTTGTAACCTTGAAGTTTACAGATCATCAAAAGAGAAAACAAGGAACTCAAAACTACAAAGAAATGTCCTTAGTTTTGGAGAGATGAATTATAAGTTCAGACTCACAGTTTAAAGGGTTGTTAAGATATTTCTGCATTAACAATATAAATTCTTTGGTAATTATTTATAATTCAACACTTTGCTTTAGAGATCTTGTCCTTAAATATTCAACAATGCCTTTTAAAAAATGATCCTCTGTAGTGTGAGATGTATGACTTAAAGACCCCAAATTTTGGAATTCCATTAACAAAGTTCCTTTGTCTCATTCACTTTTTTATTTTATGCTCTATATTCAGCTAGAACTCTAGTGGCCTAGTGGCAAGAAGCTGTGCTGCAATCTGAAGGCACATGGTTCGAGGCCACCAGCTGCTCCCTGGGAGAAGGATGGGCAGTCTTCTCCTGTATGATTAACTGCCTCTGAAAACCCCATGGAGGGTCAGCCTTGGGTCAGTTCCGACTCGACAGTACACCACCACCACAACAACAATATTCAACTAGGCTCTCCTTGCCTAATGGTTAGAGAGTTATCCTGCCAATCCAGAGGCAGGCAGTTAGAATCTACCAGCTTCTCTATGGGAGAATGATGGACACTCTCCTCCTGTGCAATTTATAGCTTCTGAAAACTTGATAGAGGGTCAACTTTGCTGTCTCCAAACTTCTTGTTTTCAGTATGGAAACAAATTAGTAGGTTGGCCAGATCTTGGTAAGCTTTTAATTTGACATTGACCTGGTTCAGAGCAAGAAAGACATTGATATAGAAAGACATTGGCTAGGAATAAAGCCTGGGAGAACCTCATGTATCTGGACGTGGCACTACTGATGTCTAAAGCCACCAGTGATGTTTATTGTTTTTACCTACTGTAGTTGTTTTAAAATGACCCATATTTGGCCCTTTTCAGAGACAGTAACTCGCATAAGAGGAGATTGCCCATCTTTTTCTTGTGGAACAGCTGGTGACCTCAAACTTCATGCCTTTGAGTTGCAGCGCAACTTCTCACTACCAGGCCACTTAAGCTCCTGTTTTTTCCTACTCGTGTCTCTCAAATGGTTTCTGTGTTCTTGCATAAATTTTAAGACCTTTCTTCCCTATTTGTTAGCTCTTTCTAGTCATCTTATTAATTCCCTGATCATAGACCTGTAAATACTATCATTGCATTGAGAAAATGTCAAATCTACTCCCATGTCTTATTAATATAGCTGTCCTAGTTGCTTTTTAATATCATCTTCTCTTGATCTGTGTTCCTAGATGTCTTCCTTGATGTCTTCTGATTACTTTATTTGCCTATTCTTTCATTCTCCTTAGTGACACCATCAGGTTCACCAGCACCTCACCTCAAGCTTAGGAAGGAGTATTTTGACGTAAAAATTATAAATAATTCAATAGGGATAATGCACACTTTTCTTTATATACAGATAAGTCTTGGTTCATTTTCTGTTTCATGTTATGTCACTTATTTGAATATTTGGCAGGTTCTCCAGCAAGTGGATAACAAGTTTATTGCCTGCTTAATGAGCACTAAGACTGAAGACATTGGTAAGACAGGTAAGAATGGAGTTTAGTCTTGCTTTAATTATTAGCTGGCCTTATTGAAGAATGTCACATAGATTGGTATTTTGTGTTACATTGTATAAGGAATAGTGGTAACATGTCTGACTTTTACCTGCTTCATAAAGGGGAACTATTCCCATCAGTACTATCCATAGTACCATACAAATAGCTACATCATCACACATACTACCTCATATGCTTCTGTACCTATTTTTGCCAAACATTGAGTCTAATATGACTTTACTCACAGTTGTAAAGTTTTTAGGGAAATTGGCTGGGTAGTAGGAGAGGCAAAGAATATCACACAATGCAAGTTCAAGTTTAGTCCAGCAGTCTCAAGCTTTTACAGCAACACAAAATTCCTCAATTAGTGAAATTCCACATTCAGTTCAGCAGCACAAATGCAACTCTGGATTCCTCAGTCATCAAGCAGACTTTACCTCAGAGCAGTTACAAGTCAGCTTTTTCTTCAATTATGAGGCAAGCAAAACCTTTAACTGTGGCTCCATCTCCATGGTTCCTCTGGTTACAACCTGCCACAGACTCTTCATAGCAGTGCCACAGTCTCTATACAGCAGTGCCATGTCTCTTCACCCTCTCTCCACTATCATTTTTCACAGTTTGGATAGTACTCTCTTATACTGGCCCCACAGCTGTTGATGATTTGCAAGACCATGTATTTACAGTCACGGTAGCCAGACACCATGCCCTGAAGAGGGCAAATACAATGGATAGAAAAAACCAATTTTCTTCCTTTTTTTTTTTATTTCATTATTTTTTGTGTGTACCGTCAAATCAGATTTGACTGGTACAGGAGGACATTGTTCTTCCTTCTCGAGCAGAGCATCTGGTGAATTTGAACTGTGCACCTCTGAACTTGCAGTTGCAGTTTCTTGCCACTAGGCCACCAGAGCTCACCCCTTTTTTTAAAAAAACATAAAAATGTGTTAATTGTTTTTCATTGTTTCAGAAAAGCCCGTTTTCAAGGTTTCTGATACCACAAATGTTTCTACCTACAATAGGAACAACTGTTCATTTATAGCACTCTAAATAATAAGCATTCATTCAGCCTATAAATATTTGTTAAGGAATCTGTTTACAAATAATGAGGGTATAACAGACTCCTGCCTTCATGAAGCCTCCATTTTAGTATGTAGGAATATAAAAAAATGCAATCTGACGTAACTAATATTACCTTTATATATCCTGTCACACTGGAGGACTAGAAAATGTTATGTATGCTCTGTAGACAAAGGTAAATCATTTCACTCCAGTCAGATGGCAGATCTGATTCCATAGGGTTCCTAACTCTTGTAATGCACATTCGCTCTAGTTTTAAGTCAAAGATTCCTTCATAGTTTATTTCTTATTTTACTATTCTACCCAATAGAAGATGATCAGTATTCATCACAACCAGCTGCAAATCTTCCCAACCTCAAAAGAGTTTAAAATTATAAATTTTGGGGGCTGTCTCTGTGTTTGATTGACTGCTAGGAAAATTATTCCCTTAAGTCTTAAACTCTCATGCCATGATTTTGATAGTGTTGTAGAGACTTCTTCCCCCCAATCTTAGTAGATAATAGAAAAAAACAAGTATTCTCTATTTTAGTCAAATTAAAGAAGAGACTTTTCATTTCTATATACACAATAGTAAATCCTTTATCTACAAGTAATAAAATTATAAACTATGAAATGTGTGTATGTGTGTGTCTTGCTCACTTGACATCTTTTGAGGTTGGAACCAACTGACTCTCCACAGGTTTTCAGAGGCTGTAAATCACATGAGAGGAGACTGCCCACTCCATGAAGCCACTGGTAAATTCAGAGTGCCAGAGATGTGCCACTTTTGAGATGATAGCACAAATCCCCACCTGTTTAGTATACCCTTAGCTTAAAATTGGGAAAGTTATGCACCAGGGCTGTATCCTTTCTCTGTACCTATTCAGTCTGTATGTTGATCAAATCAATAGAGAAACTTGACTTTTTAAAGAAGAGTGTGGCATGAAGATTGGAAGAAGAGTTATCAACAATGTGCATTCAACAAATGATGCAATCTTGTTTGCTGAAAGTGAGGAGGACTTGAGGCACTTACTTCAGAGGACAGACTTCAATATGGATTACATCTCAACATCAAGATGACAAAATTCTCACCACTGGGCCAATAAGCAACATTATGATAGATGGGGAGAAGATTGAAATTGTAAACAATTTCATCTTGCTTGGATCCATAGTCACCTTTGGTGGCAGCAGTTAGGAGATCTAAAAACATAAAGTATTGGGAAAATCTGCTATCAGGGACTTCTCCAATGTTCTGAAGAGAAATGTGTGTCTCATTCAAGGTACAGTCTTTCCAGTCACCTGCTTTGCATTTGAGAGCTGGACAATGAGTAAGGATGACAAGAGATGAAGCAGTGTCTTTGAGTTGTGGTGTTGGAGAAGAGTGCTGAATGAATATCCCATGGACTACCAGAAGAACAGATATGTCTTGGAGAAAGGACAACCAGAGTGCTCCTTGGAGGTAAAGCTAATAAAACTGTCTCACATACTTTGGGCATGATTTGTTGAAATTCCTTAGAGATGGACATCATACTTGGAAAGGCAGAGGGTCAGTGAAAGATAGGAAGGCCCTCAATGAAATGAATTGACAAAATTACTTCAGCAATGGGCTCAAGTGTATTAGAGATGATGAGAATGATGCTGGGTAGGACAGGGATCAGATCAGATCTGTTATTCATAGAGTCACTATGAGTTGTTCTTGACTTGATGACACCTAACAGCAACATCAGCAACATGGCCTTCAGTGAGAAAGAGGCTTTTGGTCAGGACATTCTGCTTGAACCACTCCCTCCTTCACTCTCTGCCTTCCCCTGTCTCCCCAGTTTATTGTAATTAGAGTGAAATTTAAAGAGAAAATTGGTTTTCCATTCAGCTATTCAGACACATTTTGTTTCATGGTATTATTTACAGTAACCATACTAAGGAATGAAGACCAGATGAGCTGTGGGAGGGATATCAAGACTATCATCCACGAAGAATCAAAAATATCAGAACAAAGACAGAGGAGGAAGAAAAGACTGAGGTGGATATCAGAAGAGACTCTTAATATTGTACTGGAACTTTGAAGAGCCAAAGCAAAGGGAAGAAAGCTGGAAGTTAAGGAGCTGAACCAAAGAACAAAGCTCAGGAAGACAAAGCAAAATATTATAAGGAAATGTGCAAAGAGCTGGAGTCGGAAAATCAAAAGATCCCAAGTCGCTTGGCATTTCTTAAAGTGAAGGAACTAAAGAACAAATTTAAGCCTTGATTTTCAATACTTAAGGATACTATGGGCAGAATATTGATACAGGAAGCATTAAAAAAAGGTGGAGTATATAGTCACTGTACACTGCGTAGCTATCACAGAAGAATTTCATGAAACAACATATGATCAAGAGGCAGTGGTTATGAAGGCGGAAGTTCAAGCTGCTCTGAAGGAATTGATGGAATACCAGTTGACGTATTTCAACAAACAGAAGCTACCCTGGATGTACACACCAGTCTGTGCCAAGAAATCTGGAGGACAACTACCTAACCAACTGACTGGAAGAGATCCATATTTATTCCCATTCTAAAAAAAGGTGACCTGACAATGTGAAAATTTTGGAACAATGTCACTAATACCACACACAAGCAAAATCCTGCTGAATATTGTCCAAAAATGGCTGGAGCAGTACATCAACAGAGAACTACTAGAAATACAGGCTGGGTTTAGAAGAGGCTGTGGCATCAGAGACATTATCACCAATATCAGATGGATCTTGGCTGAAAGCATACCACCGGAATGTCTGTATTTCATTGACTTTGTGAAGGCATTTGATTGTGTAGATCACAACAAATTATGGCTAACCTTGAAAAGAATGGGAATTCTAGAACATTTGATTGTGCTATGTGCAACCTATACTTGGACCAGGAAGCAGTTGTCAGAACAGAGCAAGAAAGCACCACATGGTTCAAAATCAGGAAAGGAGTGTGTCAGGGATGCATCCTGTCTCCATATCTTTTCAATCCTCCCTTATTGTCTCAAATTTGAATTGATAAAACAAAACCAATTCTTGGGAATGTAGGATTTCAACACACTGATGCTTGAAAAGTTTTACATCAAGGATAAATTTTTTATGATTTTACCCAGAATTTTTCTTTTTTTCAGAAATAAAGGTAAAATCACTACTATTTCATGTGTGTATTTTCTCTTAAGTTTAATATGTCAAATAGCTTGAATGAACCTTTTTCACTCTCACTGCATTATGATTATTTTAATACTAATCTGATAAATTGAAACCCAGTGATCCTTGCTGTCTTCTAGGTGGAAACCTGCTTGTACTAGTGGACCAGCACGCTGCCCATGAGCGTGTCCGTTTGGAACAGCTTATAATTGGTAAGGATCTGCTTGGAACTAGAAAAGATAGGAGATACTCAGCCAAACCTATATGCCAGAGTTTTCCCTCATTGACTATTAGGAGGAAAGATGCATTGTCTGATTTGCATTTGATAGTAATATGTTGAAAATATTAAACCCAAGTCTCTCTTTTGGTCTTTATTTTAACTGAGAGAATACAGTAACTCACTTAACTAAACCAAACATTTGGGCCTTATTTACATAGTCTCAGGTTTATTTGCCATATATTTGTTATCAAGTTAGAGAAACCTAACAGTTGGACTACTTTATTGTGATATCCAGCACAAAGCTATGCCCGTCTTAAAGTGAATATGCGTGGTGTGCCTTCTTCACAGTTTACTCAGCAGGGACCACCAGCAAGTCAGACACAATATAGTGAGTGTGTGTGTGTGCCGTCAAATCACATCTTACTGGTACAGTAATACAGGATGAAACCTTGCCTGATTGTGCACCTCCCTTACAATCTCTGCTATGCTTAAGCTCCCACTGGTGCAGTCACTGTGTCAATCCAGCTCAGTGAGGGGCTTCCTCTTTTCCCCTAATTCTCTTCAGAAACTGACAAACCCTTCTAAAGGAAGGGTGAAATCTCCTGAAGATGTAGGATTTTATAGTAAATCATTATCGTTCCCCAGTTCCACATTAATCACCCCTTATTAAAAATCACATTTATTGAATATCTATAGAAATAATGTATTGTTCATTTATTAGACTGTAAAATATAAATCTTCTATTTCTTAGTTTGCAAGGTACTGCTAAAATTAATTAGCAGGCTGGACATAGCCTACTTTGGATTTAATAACAGAATTCCAAAGCCTAAAACTGAACGTTGAACACAGTGCTAAGTACTAAAATGGTTAACATGACTGTGCGTTAACATAATTTTTCTTTTCCTCTGAGTCTAGAAGATTTCATGTATTCTTAACCCATTAGTCTCTTTTCTAATAGATTCCTATGAGAAGCAACAGCCACAAGGCACTGGTCGGAAAAAGCTACTGTCTTCTACTATCAGTCCGCCACTAGAAATAACAGTGACAGAAGAGCAAAGAAGATTATTATGGTTAGTAACCCAGGTGAGAGGGGGATGTAATGCTGACCAGTGTAAATTCTCAGAATAATTCTGTGAGATAGAAGCATGACTATTGTTCCATTTTTCATACAGATTAAGCAAGGTTGCTTGAATTTTCCAAGGCTGTAATGACTATGAAGAGGTTGATAAAATGCAGATCTTCTGACTCCAGACACTGTTCCTTCACTATATTCCAGCTGTTGAGTGGAGGAGATCATTTCTCTGATAATTCTTTCCAGCAGTTGGCTTAGAACACTCTTTCCCATTTCTTGGAAGAGTCAGTGTTTATTGCTGTGCTGTTTCTGAAAGAAAAGTTTCTGCAGTAATTGCTTCCATTCTTCTTTGTCTGGGCGCCTTCTAGATTCTTAGTCTTCATGTCCATAATCGTAATGGGAAGAAAGTAAAAAATACTGGGAAGGGGTAGATTACATAATGAATCGCAAGATAAGATATTTTCCCACTCTGGGCAGCATAGATGATTGGAAACTAAAAAGAGAATTGCCTCTTCATTTATTTCAGATTTGGGAATATACTACTGCCAATAAATATTTTTTCCCTGGGGCATAATTTATATTAGAGGCAGATCCATTTATTTACATCCCATTAATCAGGACTTCTCAGTTCCTGAGCTGTTAATTACTCCTCTACTTTCATGCTGTTTCTAAACATTCTCATCCCTTTCTTCTGTGCTAGTCTCATGTACGTGCCAGCCATTAGAAGCTGGTAAGTCCTCTGTGAAGAATAAAACTTAAGAACAAGACTTAGAAACAAAATTACTGTCTGATGAAAAAGAGGGGGAAAAAGAGGTTACTGTAATTCAGAAGGGAAATTTTACCATAAAGTCCTAAACAAACACAAGTGTAAGAAAAATAGTACAACTTTTGAAAGCTGTGGCAGCTTTTGGAAAACTCTCAAATATTTGGAACCAGAACAGAAATGTGAATGAAGTTTACATTTGAGGTTATCTTTTTAGGTGTTACCACAAAAACCTGGAAGAGCTGGGCCTTGATTTTATATTTCCAGACACTAGTGATTCTGTAGTCCTTGTGGGGAAAGTACCACTCTGTTTTGTAGAAAGAGAAGCCAATGAACTTCGAAGAGGAAGATCAACTGTGGCCAAGAGTATTGTGGAGGTAAGACAGTTGAAGAGGCTGAGGAAATTGCTGGGATTGATCACTTCCTATTTTGTCATATATTTTAGGAGATAATAATAATTTCCCATTATTCATCTTTCACTTAACCAGCAGTGTGAAGCATTTATGAAATGCCTACTGTGTGTCAGGTGCTCGATTTTGAAAGATTGCTTGTTCAAAGTGAGGAAGAAGAGCATTTAAGTAATTACGGTTTCTCACTCATTGCCATCAAGTCTGTTCAGACTTGAATTGACCTTCTATTGCATTTCTGTAAGTCGTAACAAGAAGAGTCTACCCTTCTTTCTCCTGCAGATCAAATAATAAGTCAAACTGACAGAGATACCGCCATTTCATTACCAGAAAAAGCCCTGTGAACTAAACCACCACAGCTCCCTAATTACTGTAGAAAACCTATTGTCATCCAGTTGGAACCTAGTCAGAGCTGACCCTCTATTGCGTTTCCAAGGCTGTAAATCACATGGGAGGATACTGCCCATCTTTGTCCTGCAGACCCGCTGATGGATTTGAACTGCCAAGCGGGTGTACCCTTTGGGTAGGAGGTGCAACTTCATATGGATTACTTCCCTAGTAGTTGTTTTTCTGTACAACGCAGTTAGAACTGGTCCATAGCTGACCCTCTGGTGACTTTTCAAAGGCAGTTTAATTGGACAGAAGATTGCTCATCTTTCTCCCGTGGAGCAGCTGGTGGATTTGAACCGTGTGTTTTTGGGGTGACAGCTCAGCTTCTTACTTCTAGGCCACCAGAGAGCTTGCTAATTACTGTATGGTTGTCCAGTTGTTGGTGTTATGTATCATCAAGTTGGCATTTACTCGTAGCTAGGTTTTCAGAGCCAGTAAATAGCCCAGGTGAAGATTGCCATTTCCCACAGAGCAGCTGGTAGATTCAAACCTTGTGCCTTTGGATTGGCAGAGCATCTCCTTACCACTAAGCCACTGGAGCTGCCATGGGAGCAGCTAAGTATTGGTTCTGACTCAATGATGATGGATTTTTAGAGTTTTGCACAGTAATTAGGGAACACTAACCAAAAGGACGTGGCTTCCTCAGTTTGAATTATTAGCTGCCGGTCAGGAGAAGGAAAGGTCGTCTAGTACAATGTGTTAAAAGGTGCTGTGAGAAGGCAGTGCCTAGATGGGTAGAGGTCAAGGAAACGGTCAAGGGAAAGCGGAGGTTTTTTTAAAATTTTATTTTTAAAGACAAGTTTTAATGAATGACAGGAGCCTGGCAAGTGCAGAAGTGGGGCGGAGGGGGCACATTTCAGACAAAGAACAGTGTATCATGGACTTTGAGGAGATCCCATATGTAGGGAGAAGAACATTGGGGGTGCAGCAATTAGGTCTTCAGCTGCTAACTCAAAACCCAGTTGTTTGAAACCACCATCCACTCCTTGGGAGAAAGATGTGGCAGTCTGCTTCCATATGATTATGGAAACTCTGCAGGGCTCTCTGCTTTGTCATTTAGCTGCGTTCAGTCTCGACAAGAATTTTAAGGTACTAATTGTTTAATACTAATTTAGTGCTAATTGTTTTTCACATGTTTACATGCCAATTGTTTCTTACTTCTTGCTGCTTTTTAAAAAAAGCATCAGATGCTAACAAAAATATCTCTTGGAGAGGGTGGAAGAGTTGTAAACAATTATATTGTTTGTGTTATAATATGGTAATACATGTTGTCATGGGTGAAAAGACCTGGTCTGCTCATATAAATATTGCAGCGTGGGGACCCTGGGGGACGGTTCTACTCAGTACAGCACATTCCTTTCAGTTGGAATTGACCTGACAATACACCAACAACAGTATACATTTTAAATGTCATTAATATACATTTGTGCTTTTTAAAGGGATGGAAAGCTACTGCTAAAAATGTAGTATTGGAATTCAGAAAAGATATTATTTTATACTTCATGTTTGTGCTTTTTTTCTTTATGACAAGGATAATTTATTTTGTCCTTCCCACTCTTTCTTTCATCCTTTATTTTTTTTAAAAAAAGAATTCTCTTTATGTTTCTTTTTCTCTACTACTAACTTAGATGTATTCCATTTCTATTCTTTTATTAGATTAGACTTGAAACTTTATAGGTATTTTTTTATTAAACTATTCAGACATGTTAGAACCCTTTATTTCCCATCATTGTCACTCTTCTCTCAGATTGCTTGCTGTTGTTATATCTTGTGATTCAACCTTGCTTTTAATTTCTCCAGTGTTCAGTGACTTTATAATTAATACCTCCTTAGATTCACTAAAACGTTTACCAGTCTTATTTCATAATTACTTCTTGCATTCTACTCATTCCTTCTGTGCTTAGCATTTTTACTGAAATCTTTTCTGAGTTCTTCCATTGAGAGTTCATGACTAATAAACTCTCTTTGATAATATCTTTATCTTCTCACTTGTGTAATTGTGTATCTAAAGCCAGAATCCTTTGTTGCCAGTTAAGCATTTGAAATTATTTCATTACATACTTTTGATGTCTCCTTTTTGCCGTCTCAGTACATTGTCAATGAATTGCATTCTTTTGTAAATCTTCTGATTTTCTCTCTGGTGACTCTAGGATTTTCTCTTTGTCTTTGGTCTTCTTCACATCACTGTGATTTGTCTTGGTATGGATTTATTTTGTATTTCCTTCTTGCATTCATCATGCTTCTTTAATCTGGAATATGTACAGTGATTTTCACTTCAAGCGTTATCCCCATTCTCTTTGTTATCTCCTGAAAATCCTGTGGGACCATATCTTCCTCTTGTCCATGCCTCATAACCTTTCCTCTGTATTTTCTGTTGCTGCTTCTCTCTGTGGTGCATTATGAGGAATTTCTTCATTTGTCTTCTAGTGGTTTAAATTTTCTTTTCACCTATTATTTAATTTTTGTTGTTGTTGTTGTTGTGCACTATAGAGTCAGAACCGACCCTCTGGCGGGTTTTCAGAGACAGTCACATGGGAGGAGATTGCCCGTCCTCTTCCCACAGAGCAGCTGGTGCCCTTGAACTGTATGCCTTTGGGATTGCAGCACCACTTTTTGCCACTAGGCTACCAGATCCACTGAACTTTTTTATTTCAATGACTACATTTTGTTTTCAAGGGGTTTTTACCCCCATAACTACCTGTTCTTTTTTCATTATAGTTTCTACTCCTTTATCCTTAGCTCTCATTTAGAAAGAGGAAAGAGCAACATCAACTCAGTCTACAATTTTTCTAGAAATATGTATTACTGTATACTTTAAAAAGGTAAAAATGAGAAGCTAGTGTTATTGGAGAAATTGTGGGGTAGGTTTACATAAGGAAGTTTTGAGGCAATGAGAGCAATTGAGAGCTGTTGGTTCCAGGGAAAGAAGCTGAGGATTTGATTAGGTGAGTGGTGGTGGGAACGGGAAGGAGGAGCATCTTTGAGACAAATCTGAAGATAGAATGTAGAGGGCCCCATGAACAACAGAATGTAAAGAACAAAAGAGGAAAAGAGAGAAGTCACAGTGATTTTAAATATTTTAGCTCAAATTATTAGAAAGATGATGATGTGTCTTCCTGTTGTTGTTGTTATATGTCATCCAGTCGTTTGCGACTCATAGCGACCCTATGCACAACAGCCCTAAACCCTGCTCTATCCTGCGCCAACCGCACCGCCTCTGACACACCCATCCCGATTACCCGTCACCGAATCAATCCATCTCATAGAGTGTCTTCCCCTCCTGCGCTGTCCCTCCACCCTCCCGAGCATGATGTCCCTCTCCAAGGACCTGTCCCTCCTGGCAACATGTCCAAAGTATGTCAGACGAAGCCCCAGAATCCTTGCCTCCAAGGAGTAGCTTGGTTTAATCCTCTCCAAGATGAATCTGTTTGTTTTCTTGGCAGTCCATGGTACATTCAGTACTCTTCTCCAGCACCACAGCTCAAAGGCGTCAATAGAGGGAGCTACGTGTGCCTGGTTGTGGAGCTAGATTAAGAGTTGGGCATGTTCAGTGTGCCTGTCAGTGACACAGACTTCCAGATCTAGCGCAGATAGATCTGCATGATTGTTCATATAGCAGATATTTTGGTAATATCAGAAATCAATCCCAGAGGTGCATGGTTCAAATCCACCAGATGCTTTGCCGGGAAAGGAGGGACAGTCTCCTCCTGTACCTGTCAGATCCAATTTGACGGTACACACATACACAAAATAATAATAATAAAAAAAAATCTTAAAAAAAAAAAAGAAATCAGAGATGGGTCTAGGGGAAATGAGATTGTCCAGGGAGAATATGAATAGAAGGAGAAGCATGCAAGGTAGAAGTGGAAAAAGGAAGTCATAAAGATGACTGACAGTAGTTGATCACTGTGGAAGGAGGAAGACCAGGAAGAGTAGTGTTATCAGAATGAAGGAAAGCGTTTCAAGGAGGAACAGAATGACCCAGCAATGGCCATAAAGTAAAGCCTGAAGAATGTTTGTTGAATTTGGCTGTCATAGGACATTGCAGAATCACTTCTTGAATGGGGTGAGGCACAAGACAGATTGCATTGGCTCAGAGAGATAGGATGATAATTAAAGGTTAGGGATAGTCAGGAGTCTGGATCAGGACACAAGGTTGAGGGAAGATCTTTGTTTGTTTTAACATTGAAAAGATGTTAGCATGTTCATAGGCTAAAGGTGAGAAGACATGTGAGAGGAGGAGAATGTGAACAGTGCCACCCTGTATATTCCCTTGATTTTGCCCTTTCCAAAACAGCTCCTTCTTCAGACAGTCTTTGCCTTGCTTTCAGCAGAACCCTTGTCTCCTACACAGGCTGCTGCTGGTTTTTTTTTTTTAAAGGCTCCTCCTTCAAATTGTTTTATATCCAAAAGATAGAATCTGCTGGAATCTTGTATTGTAATTCAATCCCTAAATATTTAACCAGAAAATTATAATAAAAACTTTTCCTGAAATGACTTCAAAGACTACTGTTAAGGAGTTTACTGCAAATTGAAACAAAGCTTATGGTTCCAGAAAATCTTGATTATGTTAAGTCAGG